TTTCTTCCTGAGGCAGACTTCAGTTCTCTCAGCTACTGTCTACTTCCTAAAGTTGCTCAATCTTTAGAATCAATATATAAAGGTTGCAGGATCAAGCCCCACGTTTTTAAGACTATATGCTGAAAATTACTGTTGCATATAAGAAGAATTGGGTTGGAGCAGAGGGCACATCCTGGCAGGAACCAGGAAGTTCTCCCAACATGCTGCGGTTTGTAGTCCACAACTTGTAGATCCCAGGGCTGCTGTTGAAACACACTGGACCTTGGGCTACATTTGTATACTGAAAATTGCAAATTTGAATTTACTTAGAAGAAAACCCACACAATTAATTTGTGTCCAACATAAGAAAGAAAACCAGGAGCGAGCAACACAGCAATGCCAACCATCCAACACTAGAAATGGGCAAATCTAGTGCCCATCTATAAAAAGGGAAATAAGAACAACTCAGGAAACTACAGACCAGTCAGCTTAACTTCTGTGCCAGGAAAGATAATGGAGCAAGTAATTAAGGAATCAGTTTGCAAACATCTGGAAGATAATAAGGTGACATGTAAAGGTCACCACGGATTTGTCAAGACCAAATGTTGTCAGACCAACCTAATAGCTTTCTTTGATAGGATAACAAATCTTGTGTATAAGGAGGAAGTGGTAGATGTGGCATACCTAGTCTTTAATAAAGCTTTTGATTCAAATCTTGCATGACCTTATCATTAACACAGTAGGGAAAAACAGCCTAGTTGGAGCTACTACAAAGTTGGTGCATAAGTGTTTGGATAACCATTGCCAGGGAGTAGTTATCCATAGTTGTTATCCATATTCACAGTCATGATGAAAGGGCATATTGAGCAGGGTTCTGCAGGGATCAATTTGTGGACTGGTTCTGTTCAATATCTTTGTCAACTATTTAGACAATGGTCTAGAGAGTAAACACACCTACTGGGTGGGCTGCACTGTCCCATCTAGTGGCACTGATATCACTTACAGGGAGAATAATGAGGCTGCTTTAACATCAGCTGGCTTTTTCGCTCATGCGGTAAAGCCTCATGCACTAAGCTCCAGAGGTTCCAGGTTCAATTCCTCCTATTGGCATGACATATACATTTATTAAGTTTGCAGATAATACCAAGCTGGGAGGGGTTGTAAGTGCTTTGGATCATTCATAATGATCTGGAGAAACGGTCTGAGGTAAATAGGAGGAAGTTTAATAAGGACAAATGCAAAATGCCCCACTTAAGAAGGAACAATCAGTTTCACACATCCAGAATGGGAAGCGACTGTCTAAGAAGGAGTGCAATAGAAAGGAGATCTAGGAAGGGGTCAGAGTGGATCTCAAGCTAAATAGGAGTCAACAGTGTGACGCTGTTGCAAAAAAAGCAAACGTGATTCTGGGCTGCATGAACAGGAGCGTTGTGAGCAAGACAAGAGAAGTCATTCTTCCGCTCTGCTCTGCGCTGATTTGGCCTCATCTGGAGTACCGTGGCCGGCTCTAGATGTCACTTTTCAGGAAAGATTGGAGAAACTGGAGAAGATCCAGAGAAGAGCAGCAAAAGTGTTTAAAGATCTAAAAAAACATTGCCTGTGAGGGAAGACCGAAAGAACTGGGTTTATTTAGACTGGAAAGAGAAGTCTAAAAGGGGATAGGAGAACAGTTTTCAAGTACCTAAAAGGGTGCTACAAAGAGAAGGGAGAAAAATTATTTTCCTTAACCTCCGATGATAGGGGAAGAAACAATGGGCTAAAGTTGCAGCAAGGGAGGTTTAGGTTGTTTAAGTTCCGGCTTGACAAAGCCCTGGCCGGGTTGATTTAGATGGAATTGCTCCTGCCTAGAGCAGGGGGCTGCACTTGATGACCTTCTGAGGTCTCTTCCAGTTCTATGATTCTATGATAAGGGGATGGTTTGAGGAGATAACATGATCTTGGTAATTAATTGACCATTCATTATCAGTGGGAAATAGGTCAATGGAGGGATGATAGGAGTTACTATAGAGAAATTTCCTGGGTGTCTAGCTGGTGAGTCTTGCCCACATGCTCAGGGTTTAGCTGATCGCCATATTTGGGGTCAGGAAGGAATTTTCCTCCAGGGTAGATTGGCAGAGGGCCTGGAGGTTTTTCGCCTTCCTCTGTAGCATGGGGCACAGATCACAGCTGGAGGATTCTCTGCATCTTGGGGCCTTCAAAGTATTTGAAGGCTTCAATATCTGAGACATAGGTGAAAGGATTATTCTAAGAGGGGTGGGTGAGATTCTGTGGCCTGCACTGTGCAGGGGGTCAGACTAGATGATCATAATGGTCCCTTTTGACCTTAAAGTCTATGAGTCTATGAGTTGGACATTAGGAAAAACTTCCTACCTATCAGGGTAATTAACCCTTGGAATAAATTGCCTAGGGAGGTTGTGGAATCTCCATCGTTGGAGATATTTAAGAATGGGGATGGTGTAGATGGTGCTTGGTCCTGCCATGAGGGCAGGGGACTGGACTTGATGACCTCTCGAGGTCCCTTCCCTACGATTCTATGTTCATGTTCCAAGGTCTAAAGGCACCACTGTGATCATCTAGTCTGACCTGACGCGGAACACAGACCAGAGAACTGTCCCAGACCAGAGCTTCCAGACAAACGTCCAGTGTTCTCTTGGATCAGCTGAGCACATCAAGCTCGTTAGTACCCTCGTTCACTGGCCTTTTCTCCAGCTCTCCAAGCCGTCCCCTGGCTCTCCTCTCGACCGCTTCCATTGTTCAGCTTCTGGAGCTGGTGAATCCGTGCTGATTATTTTTGTAAAAATCATATGCATTTGAAATCCAGTCTTGAGTTTTTTGCACAAGCACGACTCATGAATTTTGTATGTGTTTGAAATCCAGTCTTGAGTGTTTTGCACAAGCACGACTCATGAATTTTGCCCATTCCAGGTTGGCAATATGGAGAGGGAGGGGGGAGCTCATGCACAGAAACAAAATGAGGCTTCTGCAAACACCAAACACCCACTGGAGCGCTGCCTGAGCCTCTTCTTTCTCTTTTTGTAAGCAGTGGGATTACTGTGTGGTGTTGTGACATTGTGCCACATATGCCTTCTGGCACCATGCTAATGTCCGTGAACATGCATGACTGGAAAAGGCTTTATGCACAATAATTCTTGTAAGGTGTCATTGGAAACCTTGTGAGTTGCTGAACATGGTCATTCTATTTCTGTGCTTGTATCATTTCTGTATTTGGCATTAGAAATGTGAAACAGAAGCCTGTTTTACTAATCTAGTCCTGCTACATGAGGTCTATTAATAGTACATGAGGAACTTAATGGCCCAGTACTCAGGACCAATCTAGTCCTGCTACGTGAGGTCCATTAATGGTACATGAGGAACTTAATGGCCCGGTACTCAGGACAATGCTCTGTGAAGAGTCTTATTTTTCTTTTAAGCCTGAACTATGGTTGGTCCTGTCAAGACATGTGGCCAGGTCACCTGATGCCAGAACCCATTTTGGATCTGGTACTTTTCCACTGAAGGGGAGAAAAGTTTGAAATGAACACACAGGATTCCCACCTTGGGAAAAATGTATATAAAGGTGGGAAACCACACAATAGAGGCTGCAGCCAGAGGTCAGGACACTCTTGATGACCACCCATGATGCCTGCTGGAAACATCTAACACTGAACAAGGGGAAGGAGCTTGGTCACCTGTGAGAAAGGACAATTAGAAGGACTGGCAGGGTAAAGTATGGCACGGAACACGTTTCTTAGGCTGAGCTGGAGTATTTTATTTTATTCAACTTTGTAACATAGTTAGATCTGTCTATTGGTTGCAATCGCTTCAATCCTGCCTTGTATTCTTAATAAAATTCCTTTTGTTTATTTAGGAACCCAGTGTAAATCACTATTACCAGAGCGGAGGGGGGAGCTGTGCATCTCTCTCATTGACAAAAGGGGCAAACATTTTATGAGCTTTCTCTGCATAAAACTTTATACAGAGTCAGACGGGTTTATCTGGGGGCTCTGTGTCAAGTCCCCATGATTGAGTCTTCCCAGAGCTGAGCTGCTCTCGATGGCTGCATGGGCCGACACCCCAACTCTGTGCCGTGGCTGGGGGAGATGGTGGGACGTCCCAGGCTGGTGGGCTCAGTGGTGTTTCAGCCTGCCATGTGACAGTCTCAAGGGGATCTTTGTGACCCTATCCATCACAGCTGCTTCTGATGGAGTGAAACACCAGGCTTGGCACTGATATGACCCCTGCTGTAATTCAGCATCCAATTCTGGCATCCGTAATGCAAGGAGGGCAGTGACGAGGTGGAGAAGGATTTGAAGACATGCTCAGTAAGGAGAGACTCATGGACTCCATTTATTCAGTTTAACAAAGTGAATGGGTGACTTGATCGCAGCCTATTAATAGTCAACGACCCTGGAGGCCTTTTCAATCTAGCAAAGATCTGACAAGAGCCGAAGACTGGAAGTTGAAGCGAGACACATTCAGGCTGGAAATACGAGTTTTTGACAGAGGGGAATTAATTCTTGAAATGCACCGAGGACTTTGGCGGAGTCTCCCTCATTGGCTATTTTTCAGTCAAGTGGGGATAGTTTTCACTAAAAGATCTTCCCTGCTTCAGACAGGAAATAAATAAACAAATAATGGTAGGTCAGGTGCCTGGTACCCCTGTTTTCCTCTAAGGGCTGGCACCATGGTTCAGCTACAGCTCCCATGATGCACCACAGTCTCCCCCTCTTACTGAGCCACCAAGGTGCATTATGGACATTGTAGTTTCAGGTGCCTCCTTTCTCTCCTTTCTGGCCCAGGCATTCTGTCTGGATGTGATCTTCCAAAGGCCAATCCATGTTTGCCCCTCACCTCCAGGTCCAAAGGCATGGGATCAAATGTGTCTCCACTCCACTCCTCAGCCCTAGTCGACACCTCCACAGTTTTTTCTCACCAGAGAGGAGGAGAGAATATCCCCTTTTTAAAAT